GAGCCTTCACTTCTGTTTGTTACATAACAGATTATGAAATTAAAAGTTCATTATTACATTAATAAGGAACCAGCAGTTCATTTTACACAGAAAATAGTTGTTTGCTCTAATTCATAAGGTTTTACAAACACATGTAGGCAACAACGCAGGGTGCAATAGGTATTGCCACAACGTTGCACTTTCAACACCCATAAACAATGCTGAAACAAAACTAATCCCACACCCTTCACAGGTTTACAGCTGGATTTACAGCTACAGTTTCAGGCCTGAGACTCAAAATAAGAGCAATAGGCGGCCCTGACAGCATTTCCCTTGGCTGTTTGCATTCTGTATTGGACACCTTGTTGGGTGCTGAAGCAGCTGAGCAAGTCTCTGCACCTCAGCCTCCCACCCACCGCTCTTACTCTCACAAATATAGTGCAAAATACAACATGCTGCTATGATCTCCAGGATGTTTTTTTCTGCAGCTTCCAATCGACTTCTCCAACAGCACCATTTCCCTTTCAGATGTCTACTCAGCTACCATTCTGCAGCTACTGAGGCAGTAGTTAAACAGTTTCTTCCTTGTGTCCAAGTGGTCTGTGAATGGCTTCATTAACCAGGGAAGGAGAGGATAAGCTGAGTCTCACAGGATGACCAAAGCAATGTCCACATCAATAAAAATCCACAGTGTTGCCAGGGGCAAACAGTCCTTTCTCCATTAATTTTAATAGAGCAGAGTTCCAAAATATCCTAGCATCATGTGGACTCTTGCAGACAACCCAGCATTTGTGTCCATAAGCCTGCCATGGTTTTTGACAAGCCCTTGGAGCACCATGGAGAAATACTCTTTTCTGTTTATGAATTTTGAGCCCCGATGGGGCTAATAGGCATATGGGTCCCATCAATTGCCCAAATACAGTCTGGGAAACTCACGCTTGCAAAGTCATCAATAACCTCCTGAGAATTACGAAGCTTTTTAACATGGTGCAACAGTACCTTTTCCGTGGCATCATACACCTGCATGACAATGACCGCAATGGTCGATCTTCCCACACCAAAATTGGTTTGCTATGGAGCAGTAGCATTTGGGGGTGGCCAGCGTCCAGATGGCAATTGCTACCTGCAGTGCCCCATACTCCTGGGTAAGCATGTTGGTTCGCTGCCACTGAAGCTCCAGGGGTAGTGCAGCACATATCTCCAGAAAGGTTGTCTTCCCCATCGTGAAATTCTCTCACCGCTGCTGGTCATCCCAGGTCTGCAGAACAATCATTTCCTACCAATCCACGCTAGTTTCCTGAGCCCAGAAGCAGGACTGCACACTGTGAAGCTGCTCCAGGAATGGTCCTTGTGATCACAGAACCCCCCCTTGGGAGCTGCCACCTGATGTGCCAAGACTACCTCTGCCCCTGCCTTCCTGCCCCGTCAGCTTAGGACTTCAGTGCCCTGCCTGATTTGAGCCAGACTCACTAGCCTGCTGCAAACCCAGACCCAAGTCTGAATCACGTCCCCTAACAGCTGTAGGCTTACCTGAAAGCAGCTAACAGAAGTGTTCTTGTCTTTAACACTCAGATGCCCAACTCCCAATGGGGTCTAAACCCAAATAAATCCATTTTACCCTGTATAAAGCTTATGCAGGGTAAACTCATTGTTCGCCCTCTATAACACTGATAGAGAGATATGCACAGCTGTTTGCCCACCCAGGTATTAACACATTCTCTGAGTTAATTAATAAGTAAAAAGTGATTTTATTAAATACAGAAAGTAGGATTTAAATGGTTCCAAGTAGTAACAGACAGAACAAAGTAAGTCACCAAGCAAAATAAAATAAAACACGCAAATCTATGTCTAATCAAACTGAATACAGATAATCTCACCCTTAGAGATGCTTCAGTAAGTTTTTTCCTCAGACTGGACACCTTCCAGGCCTGGGCACAATTCTTTCCCCTGGTACAGCTCTTGTTCCAGCTCAGGTGGTAGCTAGGGGATTCTTCATAATGGCTTGTTCTGTTCTACCCATTTATATATCTTTTGCATAAGGCGGGAATCCTTTGTTCCTCTGGGTTCCCACCCCCCCACTTCTCAATGGAAAAGCACTAGGTTAAAGATGGATTCCAGTTCAGGTGACATGATCACATGTCACTGTAAGACCCCAAGCCTTCATTCCTCCCAGCCTGACTCACAGGATGGCTTGCCTGCAAACAGAGCCATCCACAGTCAATTGTCCTGGTTGATGGGAGCCATCAAGATTCCAAACAACCATTAATGGCCCACACTTTGCATAATTACAATAGGCCCTCAGAGTTATATTTCATATTTCTAGTTTCAGATACAAGAGTGATACATTTATACAAATAGAATGACCACACTCAGTAGATTATAAACTTCGTAATAATACCTTACAAGAGACCTTTTGCATGAAGCATATTCCAGTTATATTATATTCACTCATTAGCATATTTTTACAAAATCATATAGACTGCAACGTCACAGTCCTCTACTATCAGTTGCTTGGTGTCTTCCTCATCCGCATCCTGGTTCCGTTGCTGCTGAAGATTCTTCTGTTGCTGGAAGAGCTGCTGCCACCACATTGTCTGCTCTGTGGTGCAGCTGGTGAAGTCCAACACTGATTCATTCAGTGTTGAGTGCTGAAATACACATCAAGCAGCCTCTGCATATTTGAGGTTGCCAGCATAGTGGCATGGAGCATTGTTGGGACAGAGCGGGCTGACAGCAATTCTAAAAAGGCATTGGCCTGCACATAAAGTAAGAACAGGGCGAAGACAGATGAATCGTGGGATTTTTCCTTTATTAAAGTTGAACTCCCTGGCTTCTGCTATGCATCCCACAATGCGCAGCAAGAAAAAACCCACAATGGACTTTTCTCAGCAGCAAAGCAAAGGAGCATGGGTTACCCTCCAAGAATGCCATGCCTTTAGTTCTCAGCAAGTCACTGCCATGTGAACACAATGATGCACACTGACAGAGGGCATAGCATTCCATGTGCATTGACAGAGGGCATACCATTCCATGTGCATGCTACTACTGCAGCTTGCGTACTGTGCATTCCCTGATGTGCAGCAAAAAGATGCAGATTAAACCCCCATGCATGCAGACATATCTTGTTTTTCAGAGCCCCCAGCAAATTAGTACAAATATGCTCTTTTGCGTGTTTAGCCAGCATAACAAGATCCCTTTCAAAGTCTCCATCAAACGGGACACCATCTTAGAGCCCGGCCATTCTTTTAATAAGATCCAGATTAAGTTTTAGGTCACAGGTTTTCAGTACGGACAAGGCATTCTGCCTTGTTATGGAAGGAGTGTCATATTTCTCAACAGCAATTACGTATTGATGAAATCTGCAGTAAATCTTGATTTTCTTTGTACAACACTTGGCCTTGAGGTCACACAGGTATAAGGGGTAAAATAGGGAAGGAGACTTATTGGCCCAGGATGGAATTGTGAGCTGTATAGGGGCTTTCAAATACAAATTCAAAGCAAAGTTTTTATCTACATTTTGGTTCACTGACTTTAATCTTTCATAGTGCCCTCAGAGTGCTTTTGTAAAGGGACACTCACCTGCTGAGCAGCTGGGTGTGGTACTACAGTCCTTTTCTTGCTTCTGGTGTCCCGAGCAGGCTGCCAGCCACTCTTGGAGGGTCTTCAGTGTCTTGACCCTCCAGTCAAGTCACAGTGTCCAAATAAATCCTTTCTGACATATTAAAAAGTCCGATAATTAAACAGTCTATTTCCCCTCACTAGGGCCTTCAGCCCTGCCTCTGGGCCCTTTAAATTCAGTCCTGTATTTTAGCTCCTAAACAAGGCCTGTCCCCTTCTTGGGATTTAGACCACTTTATCTAGGCCACTAGAGGAACCCAGCCCAGGCACCCTACACACAGCAGCCACACACTTCTCACCACCTTTATTTCCAGCCCTATCTCAGGATCAACATCCCCAGGTTCTTCTCCCTCTGCAATCTCAGTGTAAATTCAGCCAGAAATAACCTCTAGCTACTTGTCATTCTCCTTTGGCCAGAGAAGAGCCCACTTCTTCCCTCCTTTGGTCCAAGCTAGGAACTGATATGCTAAGCTCCTGCAGCTCCTTTTATCTGAGCCTGCTGGGCTCTGACTGGCTGTCTCTAGCCCTTGGAGAACCAGGTCTCTCTAGTTTTCAAGATGGCCACTCCAGTAAGGCCTCTCTAGGCAGTGGTGGAGGACCACTTTTAAGGTTCTTTTCCTTGTACCTTGCTTTTTCCTGGGGTGGGGTGCAGAAAAGCAGCAGGGCTTCCCCAGTACAACCCATCACAGCTCTGCAGTACCAAGTTAGTCACTGCAGTATCAGAACCTGTGTAGGTAAGTTCAGCAATAGCTATCCATAGACTATCCTCTATGGACAGGGATACAGACTAGATGATCCAAAAAAATCTTTTTTCATCTCTAACTTCTGTGGTACCCTCCTCATTTTGAAAAGTACCATGGGATCTTTGATTTCACTCAGCAGCTCCCTCTCTAGGACCAGGGTAAAAGGGACTTCAGTTTAACATCTCATTCACAGTACCTCTAATAGTGTAGCATCTCCTAGTATTCCACTGCAGTGTCTGCATTGGATAGGAGCACAAATTGTGGTGTGGCTCGAGTCCTCCATTTTAGAGGTTATTGCTGCCAGCTGAACCCAACCAACACAAAAGAAATGTCTTGGTGTGTTTGTTCAGCACCTAGCACAATGGACCGGGCCCATTAGGTGCTACATTAGCAAAGTAATAATAATAGTAATCATTTAAAAAAGAATGTTCCCTTTAAAACAAAAGCCTGAAATACTGAATTATTCATTTAGATGGGAAGTTTTAAGTACAGTAGTTTGAAAATTTAACTCAGTGGAATTATACTCCACAGATGTCTGATATTATAATACCTGAGATTTAATTAATATATAGTATGCATTTTCTTGCCATTACAAGAAAATTGTAAAATCTTAGATAATTTTTATAGCTGTTTCTAAATCACACATATGTGTCTTTACAGTCTGAACTGGACGGTGATCAGAGAAATTTTAGCTCAAAAGGAGCTTTGGGGTTTCAGCATCCAGTGAGGTGAGATGAATCCTATAAGTTGATCCAGGAAAAGTGAAATTCGTATTTTTGTTCTTCAGTAATAAATTTCCTCCGTGACAAAGTGTTAAACTGTGTAATTCACCTGAGAAGACACACAAGGTAAGCAGGATCTGAAGCAACATGCTAAATCATGACATTAGAAAGCCATAGAAAGAGCCAATGTCATCCTGACAGACCAGACTTACCCCACTGTGAGTTAAGGTTTCATAATTAACATCCCCTCAAAAAAGGAAATTTAAAATCAAGGTATCTAATAGTACATACCTTCTCCTCCTCTACCCAGAGAGACACATCTCACCACTAGAACCACCCCACACAAAAACAGATCACAGCCTTAAACCAGCCTTCCAGCACCCTTCCTCAAACTCCCCACCATTAACAAACAAACACATCCTCTCTCTGACTACCAAGTCTGCACAGTTCTAGAAAAATCACATTTGCTCATGTTCTCAGGAGCAGCACTTTGTCAAATAGAGACCTCTGGCTAACCCAATATTTGGCCTCTCTCCCCCCCCCCCCAAAAAAAGAAAAAAAGTAACTGGGGATAAACAGTCACTGCCAAAACCAATAGTACTGACCAGGGAACAGATGGGACTACTTCAATGAGGCCTTTAGATAGAAGGATGGTTTAAAACATGGAGAGATGAAGAGGAGAGAGAAGCCATCAAGGATTCAGAGGAGCCTCCCTTCCACAAGGAAGGGAAGAAATGTAGCCTTCAGACACAAGCCTTGAGTCAGTTAGTCTGGAAGGATTCTAATACACCTCTACCCCGATATAACGCGACCCGATATCATATGAATTTGGATATAACATGGTAAAGCAGTGCTCCGGGGGGGGGGGGCTGCGCACTCCTGCGGATCAAAGCAATATAACGTGATATAACGATATAACGCGGTTTCACCTATAATGCGGTAAGATTTTTTGGCTCCTGAGGACAGCGTTATATCGAGGTAGAGGTGTAGTTTTACATGGTTTTTATAAGTGGTTTTGTTTTGTTTTACTAGACTTTATTTGCCCAAATCTAAATCTCAGAAGTTCCTACACAACATTGGAAAGAAGGTTCTGGCCAGTTTTCCAGTACAAGCCACAATTCATTTCTACAATGACGACTCTGATTCTGAAGATGACGAGGAAGGAAGGAATTCAGCTTTATAATGAACATACTCAGCCTCTGAGGACCATGTAAATGAAGAGACAAAAAATGGCCTCTAATGTGTTTACTAGCAAAAATCATATAAACCAAAAAACAGATCTAAAGCTCATGTGAGAATCATCTTCTTGCTGTCATGTGAAAAATAGTGGGGAGATGCAAATGGCAAACAAACATGGAAGCTTTGTTTTCTTTTTGGGAGGCTTACAGGAACAAAAGTCCTTAGAGCAGTTTTTAGAATTTTAAGTTGCAGAGCTTTGTGCGGTCCCCAAACTCACTCTGGCTGGAGTAACATCTGTATTAAGACCATTAATGTCACTGTTACCATTGCACTGTGTTCAGCACAAATGCTATATTACGTTGTGCTGGAAGATGAAAATATATGCCTGATTATGGGAAAAATATACACGCCCCCAACACTTCTCTAAATTAGATTTTTTTTGGTGAGATGTGTAAAATGAGAAACTCATATCCATTGTCCACTATATCATCTGGGATTCTGCCTGCAAGCTGCTACAAGTTCTGCTCCCTAAGTAATCAGAAAAGAGCCCTGCCATTAATCAGGGAAAGGTGCCAAAGCATGAATAATAAAATATGATTTAACAGTGAATTAAGGTGTGTATTAGAGAATTTTAAACAACAACAACAAAGGCTGAGGTTTAGCTATAGAAGGACCTTAGATGCATGCAAAATGTGCAGAAGAGAAAATTTAAGAAGGGTTTGAACTACAAAATTCAAATCCTATTCTAAACTTTTCTAAAATGTAGTGGGTTTGAAGCTGGGATTTTAGCATAGCTTATTACAAATCAACTATAAAGTTTGGATTTAGAGCAGAACATCCTCTAGTTTATTTTGTGTTCAGACGCAGGGTGACTAAGTTCCTGCTTAGTCTTGCTAATTGCTTTCATAAGCCATTTTAACAACATTATGCCAAGTTCACCTTTCTAGACGAAGCTTTTAAAATCTGCTTCCTATCACAGACTTTGACATGTAGGCAGGGTTTTGAAAGGATTCTTTATTACACCCCTCCCCCGCAAACTTCCAAATTCAAAATATCTCTTCCTAGTTGTTCTCTAGTTTCTCACTTGTAGTGTTGGAGTATTGCTGTTTGTCTTATAAATATTTTGTACAGTTTCTAGATGTATGAAAAGAATTAACTGCCATCTTATTTTGACTACAGCCCTGATTCTGCAAAGATTTATGCATGTGCTTAACTTTATGTATGTGAATATTTCAGTTGAAATCAGTGGGACTACTCTTGTCCCTAAAGTTATGTGCTTGAATAACTGCTTGCAGAATTAGGGTATAAGACATTCCATTGCATTAAATTAGATTTATTGGAACAATATCAATTTAATTTTTAATTTTTTTTCTCTCCTTTGTAAAAACTTGTATACAGATTAGAAAATAAAATTTCTCACTTTTCATTTGAGAAACATTAATGTTCTCCTTTCCCCTAAATTTCTAATGGAATTGAAACGAGCATTGCTATTTATTTCCTTCTTTGTGCTGCAGTCACATGATTACAGTGTATCTCTGGGATCAGGACAAGTCCAATCCCGTAGTTCTTCATTTAAGTACAGTACATGTATTGTCTTCTATAGGTCATTTTATGTGAGTCATGATTGCTCACATGAATAAGGGATTGTAGAATCAGGGCCAATGTTAGTTACCAGCTGCTGCATTGGGTGGCAAAGGAACTAGGTTTTGTTTTCACATCATCATTACTGCATATAGTAATAGTAACAATGGGATTTTAAGGAAAAGAGCATACCTGGAATCAGGGAATATCCCCTACTGCAGAATCAAACTGTTTTAAAGACAGATCTAATTACGAAGAGTTCAAAAGGTTTAGAGCATGCCCCATTAACATTTTTACAAACTATTCAGTAAATGTAGAGACACTGAAAGAGTGCTGTAAAATCCATTTAAACTCAAATCAATTAACTAGTTGGCACACAAACTTTGCATTCACACTTTTAAATCTCAAACAAAGTATACACAAAGAAGTCCTTTAATGCTAGTACCCATTGCCTTTGCAACTTTAAAGAAGCAGTGGCTGTTTCCATTATAAAACATTTTCTGTGTTTTATTCATCCTAAACTGAAATTTTACATATGAGTTTTGAGTCAGGATGTAAATATAATCCAAAAAAATAGCTAACATTATTTAAGCTCTTACTCATACACTTAAATCTAATATTATTAAAGTTCCTTGAAGGGATGAACTATGACAGGAAAAAAAACGAGTTAACTAAAACCTTTCCAATTTCACTCATGCCATTATGTATAGAGGGATCTGAGCCCATATAGTGTATGACAATATATCATCCATTGACTTAATATACTTCGGAAAGAGCCCTTAATATTACACAATACTATACCTTAACACAACTCTGACTAAAATGCAAGACACGTGCACATTTGAAAAAAAGACTAAAGCAAAATTCAACAATATGCTCATCAAAAGCAGTATTTAACTTCCAATATAAACTTTCTTGATTTTTTGACTCAGACCCTTTGTCATATTATGAGAATACACTACCACATCAACAGCAAGAAAGCAAGCTAAGAAAAACACAACAGGTACTTACCAGCTGAGAAAAAAAAAAAAACAACATCCAGCAGCTACTAGTTACAAAATTGCTCTCCTTGAGAGATGGTTAGTTAGCTCTCCAAAATTTTTAAAGGGCTACTAACAGAAATGCATGAAGGGGAAAAAAGTTCCTATAAAGGTTAACTGTGTACAGATGAACATTAGTAAGAAATAAGTAAATCACTGGACCATGTGCTCCTGAAGAAAGATGTATTGTATTATACATATCAAATGCATCTTTGTGTGTGTTTATTTAAAAGAGGAAGTTATATAGTATTTTAAAATAAGAGTAATATTTGATTTAGTGTGAATTACAATACTGCAATATTATATTACAGAATTAGTTTTTTAAGCAAGCTAGGATAAGAGGCATATCCAGCAGATAAGATAAATTGTATATATTACAATCCTTCAGGAGGGAAAAATGTGACAATACATTTGCTATCCCTGCATTTACATGGATTATTGGTATAAGAATTCCATGTTCCAGCATCAATAAAACCAGGCTGGTTGGGGAGGAGGTGAGTGAGCCACCAAAAGCCTTATGGATTGGGGGAAAGCAACATTTCCTGTGGTGTAGGAAAAAAAGTTCCAATCTTGCCTTTGCTAAGTGTGATATATATTTCTCTGCACCTCATCAGCCTTGTTGTTGAGCAAGGCCATGAACCCCAAACCTAGAGGGCAGACACATATGAGCTACCACTTTATTTTAACATGTAAGTTAATGGGTTACACAAGATCACTGCAGGCATAATCAGAACAGAACCCAGGACTTTAACATGGTAGTCTCAAATGTTATGTCAGGTCTACACATTTTCTTTGACCTGAAATGAATTTCTTTCCCCAGGCACTTTTTAAACATAAAAGCAAAGAACATGATGGGATAGATTCACACCCCCATTAAGCCAAGTAGTTAGGATGCTTGCTTGGGATGTGGAAGACCTAGGTTAAATTATCTCCTCTGCCTTATATGGTGCAAGGATTTGAACTTAAGTCTCCCACAGTACAGAAGAGTGCCCTAATCCAGTGCTTCTCAACCAGGGTTATGCATACCCCTGGGAGTATTGAGAGGTCTTCCAGGGATACATCAACTCATCTAGATATTTGCCTAGTTTTACAACAGGCTACATAAAAAGCTCTAGCAAAGTCAGTACAAACTACAATTTCATACAGAAAATGGCTTGTTTATACTGCTCTATATACTATATACTGAAATGTAAGTATAATATTTATATTCCAATTTATTATAACAGGGGTAGGCAACTTCTGGCATGCGAGCTGATTTTCAGTGGCACTCACGCTGCCTGGGTCCTGGCCATGGGTCCGGGGGGGCTCTGCATTTTAATTTAATTTTAAATGAAGCTTCTTAAACATTTTAAAAACCTTATTTACTTTACATACAACAATAGTTTAGTTATATATTATAGACTTATAGAGAGAGACCTTCTAAAAACTTTAAAATTGTATTACTGGCATGCAAAATCTTAAATCACAGTGAATAAATGAAGACTCGGTACACCACTTCTGAAAGGTTGCCGACCCCTGTATTATAATATGGTAAAAATGAGAAAGTAAGCAATTTTTCAGTAATTGTGTGCTGTGACACTTTTGTATTGTTATATCTGATTTTGTAAGCAAGTAATGCTTATGCATTTTGTGATGTAGTTATGGGTGGCTGTGCCTGACCTTCCATTGCGGGAAGTCTAAAGGAGTAACTTGCGGTCCAGAGGATGACTTTAAAAATCATTACATCTGATTCAGAAATTACCTGATACCTTCAACATGTTTTTTTAAAATTGCTTTGTACATTTTTTAAGAGCATGAGACCTCTTTGGATGTGGAGCAAGTCAGACACAGCTTGTAATAGCATAGGTATACCTGCATGTCACAGTGAGGAGGGCCCACTCAATCTAGTCCTATGGAGAGTCTTGCTCTACTTTAACATTCTGTTCCCTGCAGAAATACCTCTGGCCACTCACATGTTGAACTGGAATTTTAACCAGCAGGTTTCCTTTATATTCTTTTCTTTCCTACTCCATTACTTCCTTCCTCTACCCCAATTAAATACACACAAACTGCCCTACATGTAACTTACAAAGCTGTGCCAGTTCGTCAACATACTCATTCACTTGTAATATTTTATCCCCATGCCCTCCTTTTATGAAGGGGAGGGTTTTTCTCTTTTCTGTTTGTGTAGCACCCAGCTCAATAGGGTACAGATCTCAATATAGTAGTGCCTACAGGGTTCAGTTTAATATAAATATTTACAATAAAAATGAGAGTAACAGAATACATGGTAATATTGCTCTTATTTTAGCTCCTTACTAACCATTGTGCACTTTCTATGTATAGCCCAAACCCATCATTCTGCACTGCAACACAGTAAAAAAAACCAGGCTTCCACCTCATACCCTTAATCAGTTTCAGCCTGGTTCTGCTCCTACTGAAATCAGTGGCAAATCTTCTTTTGCATGGCTGCTCAGCCTTAGGGTTATGAACATATTGTGTGTCTGTCTGTTCATGCACACACGTTTCTTTTGGCATATGGGAACATCATATAGAAAAGGTTGAGAACCACAGTCCTATTGCATTCAGTGGTAGGAGTATTGGGCCCTTGCATTTTAAAAATAAGAGTACCCTCTCTGATCTTCACTACAGGAGAAGCTCTGGCATGTTCAAACTCAACACTGTCTGTAGAGAAACTCCATTCTGGAGAACAGGATGTCACACTGTTTCTACACATGCATCTCTCTTGCTTAGAATATCAAAACAAAATCATGGCAATAAGCATCCAAATGCATATGAAAACAAAATTCCTCTAAAGGAACTAGACAAAAAGCATAGCAGTTACTTGCACAATAAGGCTAAAGGCTACCCCCCTTTGCCTAGTTCAGCAAGAATAAAGCTATTAGCCCAGTCCACTAAATACTACTAATCTTGGTGGTGACAAGATACCACTGATAAGGCCAGGCCAAGAGGTGAAAATGAGGGCAAATTTAGGATTTAGCACGACTAAAGGGAGTGGATATTTGATCACATTTAGTCTATTCCAGATCTTTGGGTAGTCTTTACACAGGTATGTTTTAGGAGGGAAGGAGTTAAAACCAGCACCACCCTTTAATCTTGTCAGGTTTTGTTTTGGAATCATCCATCTGATAACTTTGAGCTGACAACTGCATAAAGCCTTCTAAATACTTTGGCAGCTAAAAAGAATGCTGTCTCTTTAGGTGCAAGGAACTAGTGAAAAGTAGCTTTCCCCCACCAAGTTGGTAAGAATAAAATATACCTGATTACTGCTGTATGTATGGTCATGTAATGAGGGACTCTCAAGATCCACAATGCCCTGTCAAAGTATATTAGTTTTAAACATTAGATGCCATTAACCTTTATCACAAGTCCCAAACCCTACACAATAGAAAAATACATTGTGTTACAGAATATATTATTTTGATCATGAAGACAACCTTTGATAGTTTGATAATTATTCTTAAATTGAAGTAAAGGTCATCAGAATGTCATTTCAGCACTGACACTCAATGACAGAAAAGCAAAGCTTGAGTTTCGTGCCTGTAAATTTCACTTAAATAATAAATGGCCCCAGTTTGTCTGTTCACTTAGGTCCCTTCTGTTAGTTTTCCCATAATTGTGCTAGATCAGCAGACAAGTGAAATGGCAGATTCATCACTGATAGAATCTTTGTTTAAGATTTATAATCCTTTAGTTTGTGTGTTTTTAGGACTTGAGGGCATTTTCCAGTAGCTCTTCTTTATCGTGTAGGGATTTGTGTATCTTTAACTGGGAATTAATTTAATCCTTAAATTAAATGACACCAGAATCATAGCCTTCACTAGTTGTCAAGTTAGAATTTAAATTGCTTTCTGAAAAATTTAGAAAAAATTTCAAGGAACAAGAAAATCATAACCAGAAATTGCATATGAGAAAATATATAACTCTGGAGTGACTTAGTCATGAATTCTCTCAAGAAAAAAAATTAACTATTTTTTTAATGACAAACCTCCCCCCTCCCCCCCACTAGAGAATAGTAAATACATGGTCCCTGCCAGAATAGCCTATAATTTCTATCAGTTCAAGATTGTATGAGAAAGTCAAAAATAGAAGGGGAGAAAAGAAAGGGTTCAAACTGAAAAAAAAAAAAAAAGATGAAAGTTCAGCTCTGTCCCAAATCAAATGCTCCACTCAAACAAATATGCCCCATGCAATCTGAGACATCAAAATGAGATTCCAAGACTCTCTTCTTTTTTGCATATTCTGATCAGCAATTAAGTAGTTAATGTTGCCATTTAAAATATAATCATTAGGCTCTGGCATTAGCACCCCAATGAGATGAATAAGGGCAAGTTACACACTTTAGAGCTATTATTTCAGGCTATCTGCAAACTCAAGCAGACAGCATTACATTGGTTTGTTTGGTTCAAAATTTGAGGATTTTTCTCATTGCTCTAAGAGCTGGAGATTCCTCTCTCCCCCCTTGCAAAAAACAAAAATAAAAAAATCAACCAAACAAGCAATCTTAGATTCTGGATCACAAGTTGGGAACATCCATGTGATTGTTCAGCTATAGCAAGCTGGGATGTGGAGGAAGCACTCCCACTGAAGTTAGCGTCAGAGCATTCATTAGTTTTAATGGGATCAGTATGAAGTCCTGCATACAGACGTTTTCCAACATATCTTATTTCCTTTTCTAACAAAATGTTAACTTTTTGTAACTCTGAAGTTCTTTCCTGACAAGAGTGACGGTATTTTTGTCTGACGACGAGGCTTTAACTATTATCACTAGTGTTTTATGATGCAATGTGTTAGGATGTCAGCTGGTGACAAATAAAATATTTAGACAACTTCTGGTGACGATTTGTCAGCAAAGTAACGTTTAAGTGGAAGAATATTCTCTATTTAAGATATTTTGGCAGTGGCTTAGAAACAATACAGTATACTTTGAGATTTCCTTTGAGTTTAAGAAGCTGGATCAGTTTTCCATGACATTTACAGCAGTTCCATGGGTCCGGAAGAATTTTATTTTTAGTACTCTTAAGAAATGTAATTTTTTAATATTAAAGAACATTAGAAGAAGGATAAGAAAGCAATTTAAGAAAAACCAACTAATATATTTAAATGGGAACTTGTTTGGATTTTTCTTCATCCCCCACCTTTTCTCCTGGTTTTGGGAAACCCTATCACTTTTAATAAGGCTAATAAGATAGGAAAACAAGGATATTCTTGATATGCAGAAATACATATCTAAAGAAAATCCATTGTGCACTGTATGTCCAAGGCAAGTAAGATACCCCTCAGAAAAAAAATTAGAAATGCAATCAGTTTTAGACAACTAAAAACATTTTATTAATATTACTGTACAGTCACAATGCATACACTTGAATTTACCAAGACTGGTCAAAAAAGAGTGGGATATTTAAGAGCACTCAGTGTTGGCCTAACTCTGCTCCCACTGAAGTCAATGAGAGTAGAATTAAGCCAAACATTAAATGCTTTGGAATATCCCACCCTCAAATGTGCAAGAAAAAAAAATCTAGGGGTAATTGAACAGATTACTTCAGATCCAGAGCATAGCTAAACAAATGTATATGGAAGAATTCAGTTCCCAGAATGAAGTATTTTGTCGTTTAATACTGTAGGTCTCTCTACATTAAGAAATAAAACCATTTCAACAATCATCAATTTGTTTAATAATAAATAATAATACGTAGCTCTTAAATAACACTTATCAGTAGATCTCAAAGCACTTTATAAAGGTCAGTATCATATACATAGTACAGATGGGGAAACCAAAGCAGAGTGGTGAAGTGACTTGCTCAAGGTCACCCAGCAGACTAGTAGCAGAGCTGGGAACAGAGCCCATATCTTCTGAGTCCTGGTTCAGTACTCTATGCCACACAAGGTGAACCAGTGCGGACCACAGCTTAATTTAGATACAAATTCATCTATTCCAGTTGTTGAAAGAGTTAGATTTCTTAGCACTGACAAGCCTTTGACTTTTCTTACAATGTGTTTCTAAAAATTATTGTAGTACTGTAGTGTCTTATTCTAACAGGGTCTGGTTCCAATTAATTTCTGTTACAAATGCCTTTGTCAGCAAGGAAAAACATTTGGTTTACTTCACTAATGGGAATATCCCTCAATGCAGGGATTGCTTCTTCTTGAGATTTCTTCTGCTGCTGACTTTTTGCAAAGTTATCTGTAGGAAATATGACAAAAGACATTTCACTATTCCATGATTTAAAACTGATGGTATAAACTGAAATGCTTTGTTTTCCTGCTAGAAGTGTTGCTAGACTCCTACACTTCATCAACATAAAAGCATACTGCTCTGATTTTACATCACATCCAGCTACAACCTAAATCCTATGCAACGTTTAACAGAGTGAAATTCGAGAAACATCCCACTTTTAGTAAACCAGAATGATGCTGTAAATGTCTGAAAAGCGAATACATTTAGTTGGTACTGTCAGTTTATCTACAGTCGATGTTAACATTCTGCTCCCTCTAGCAAAGCAAGTTCCATAGTGCTGATTCAAGAAAGACTTGGGGCTAAATTCTGCCTGTGGATGTGTGCTGCTGACCCTTTTCGTTCTTGACCTCAGCAGCTTTCTATCAAGTCATCAGTCTAGTCACCATCTTTACTGCAGAGTCTACACTTGGCTCTTTCCACTTCAAAGAACAGTTCAGTGGAAGCAAGTGAAAATAAGTCAATGAAGCATGCCTTAAATATTAATTTTGTTGGTTTTCATTAGAAGTGAATGGACATGGCCAAATGGTGCTGTCAATTGGGACAATTTAGCTTTAGCATGGACTCAGATTCTAATGATCTGGGTAATTTTTGAATTCTCCTATGTTCTTGCTCAGGAAAAGCAGTTATCAGCAAATAAAAGAAATACCATCTTGAGAAAGATGGGAAAATATTGAGGAAGCCACCTATATTTCAAGTATTCAGAACTGGATCAGTGGGCAGAAATAAAATCCATGGGAAAGAGTAGCAAATGCTAGACTGTAATGGTTGTCCTAAAGAAGATACATTTGGAAAAAAATAAAACAGTCAAAACTTGTAGTTATAACATTGTATTGAAATGAAGTTTGAACAAAATATATAATTGTTTGTAACAGTCCTGCAATCATAGAATATCAGGGTTGGAAGGGACCTCAGGAGGTCATCTAGTCCAACCCCCTGCTCAAAGCAGGACCAATCCCCAGACAGATTTTTGCCCCAGATCCCTGAATGGCCCCCTCAAGAATTGAACTCACAACCACCCTGGGTTTAGCAGGACAATGCTCAAACCACTGAGCTATAATACACCAATACATTAAACATAGGTGCAAATTCAAGGTTTTGAATTTGGTTTAGTTTAGTAATACCAGCAAGTATGTTTACAGTGATTGTCAACTTTTGTAGAAGGCTTAAGAACTATACAAGAAAATCATCAACTACCTGTAATGGTGTGCATGGAGTTGAGTGGAGCAGTACTCATCATGTTAATACCAAAGAGTAATATATAGCCAATTCCTAAAGTAACTAGAAGGTATACAGGCAAAGCAACTGCCCAGTACCTGCAGAATAAAATATTTATTTTTAAATGACATTTCGCAAAAGAAAGTCTTTAGTAAAAAATTATTTCCAGCTCTAAATCAAGCAAGACAGTACAGAAGTAGAAACAAGTACACCTCTACCTCAATATAACGCTGTCCTCGGGAGCCAAAAAAATCTTACCTCGTTATAGGTGAAACCGCATTATATCAAACTTGCTTTGATCCACCGGAGTGCGCAGCCCCCACCCCCACAGCGCTGCTTTACTGTGTTATATCCGAATTCGTGTTATATCGGGTCGCGTTATATCAGGGTAGAGGTGTATGAATATAAAGTGGATAGAAAAAATAGTTATAGCTAAGACCACCACACTAAAAACAGAAGACCCTGAAAATGCAGTTCATTAACTAAGGACCCATTGTGACCAGTATGGCATAATAGCCAAATAAATGTATTAGACAGTTTTTTTGGCAATTTAATTTAATAAAATTTACCATGATATTTCAGAAAAAAAAACTTAATTAAACCAAGCTGCCAAATTACTTTAAGAACATAACAGACAGGTGTACTGCACTTCATTTTAGCTTGCTGATAATTTTTCAGAGTAAACTGTTGTTTGTGAAACATTACTTTACATAAATACTGTAGCTGTTTGTGAGGAGAAACATATTAAATCTTCTTTTTCAAGTTGGATTAAATGTAAAATATTTTAAATGTAAAAGGACACTGGCACAATTTTTCTGGGTATGTGTTTGTTCTTCCACATGTTTAACAGTGAATAAATTTAACCTACTTTTGAGGCCAGTATGTTAGTCCCACTGAGAATAACCAAGATTCAGGAACATACGCCCATACAAGGTATAACACTGTGCAAAAAGAGTAAAAGTTAATATTTTGATCATAATTGTACAGTTTACATTGTTTTAAGAGACAAATCAATTCTAGATCTAGTTAGCACCGTCATTACAGAGGAGACAAACAAATTATAAAAATTTTCTCTATGGATTCCAAAAAGCATCTAAATAGGTCTACTGAAATACTGCAGAGAATGCTACTATGAACACAAACTATGCCATAGGGATGCAAACTTTATAACTGATGGTACTTTAATTCTCTTCTTCATATTTGTTTTCTAATTCCAGAATAAAATAGACAAGAATTCCTTGCATCATTTGTCGATTTTTAAAAAAGGTTAAAAAATTTAATTTAAAATTAATTTTAAACATTTGTATTTTAAAAACATTGGTCCAAGGTATTTCTCTAGGTCTTCAGAAATATGTACAAATGACTATGTATGTAGAACTATATGACAGCACTGAACCACAAAGGGTCTAATTCTGCAGTCAAAACTAGCAATGATGTTAATGCAGGGGCAGGCAAACTTTTTGGCTTGAGGGCCGCATCGGGTTTTGAAAATTGTATGGAGGGCCAGTTAGGGGAGGGGGGCGTGGCCCAGCCCCCACCCCCTATCCACTCCCCCTTTTGGCCCCGTGATGGCCCCCCCGGACTCCTGCCCCATCCAACCACCCCTTCTCCCTGTCCTCTGACTGCCCCCCCGCCCCATCCAACCCCCCCCGACTGCCCCCCCGACCCTTGCCCCCATTCAACCCCTGTTCCCCACCCTCTGACTGCCCCGACCCCTATCCACACCCCCACCCCCTGACCACCACCCCGAACTCCCCTGCCCTCTATCCATCCCCCTCTCCCCCTGCTCCCTTACCGCACTGCTTGGAGCACCGGTGGCTGGCGGTGCTGCAGCTGCGCCACCCGGCTCAGCACAGAGCCAGCCATGCACCGCACAGCACAGAGCACCGGGTCAGGCTGCGCTGCCCCAGGAGCTCATCGCCCTGCCGCCAAGAGCATTGCACTGGCGGTACAGTGAGCTGAGGCTGCAGGGGAGTGGGAATAGCGGGGGAGAGGCCGGGGGCCAGGAGCTCAGGGGCCCCACGGGCTGGATGTGGCCCGCAGGCCGTAGTTTGCCCACCTTTGTGTTAATGGGTAATTTGACTACACAAGGATAGCAGGATTTAGCCATTAAACACCCCACCCCCAACAAAACCAATTAACTCCCAAAATGAGACATCTGTGGAGTACCAAATATTATTTTAATAGAATTCCACACATCTTGAATGAGATTTTCTTTTTTAAATACTTCAGTTCTTTACTACAGTATGCCACTTAAGGGGCTATCACAATAGAAACGATAAAATGTAAAGACCCAAAATAGGGATTAGGATAGCATTGTACTAGGTACTGTACAAACAAACACACAATGACAGCTCTTGCCCCAGAGAGCTCAAAAACTAGAATTCTGGCAAGTGAGTAAACATATAAATGGGGAATTGGTGGGGAAGGATAAAGTAACAGAGTCACTAGTCCTAACTGTCACAAAACTGAAACAAGAGTTACAACAACCTAGTACTGGAAGAAATGTTTTTAAAAATGCATATTTTACTGAAAATATATTTAGAATGGGAGTAAATTTGAGATTACTGATTTCAATGCCAATGAAGCAAGTATTAATTCAAAAATATTTCTCTTAAGAGGAACAGTAAGGTCAGTTTTGGCTCAAAAGTTAAGGTTTTACAACCTCTTAGATCAACAGAACAGTTACTAGCAAGAGGATACAGAAGATGGAATCCCAGAGTAGAGTCTCGGGAACACCCTTGGAGTGGAGCCCTCCTTAGCTCCATCCTTGCTGAGCTGCTTGAAATGGGAAGGGTTCTGGGATTCTTACAGCCAGGTGCTTTTCTGTCCCTGAAGTATCTGGTGCTCCATTTTTCATCTCTGTCTTTGATATGCTAAATCTGAAGTCCCTAAACTATCCTCTAACTGTTGGAAGAGAAGGAGCATACCTTCTCTATTTAGTTTTCCCCACCCAAAAGCCTTACACTTGCTGCAAGGGAGTATGGGCTCTTTACTCCACTCCTTATCAAGTGGATATCTCCAGCACTTTGCTCTGTTGTGGCTCATCATTGCTGAAAGCAGCAGCACAGTGAAACTGATGTGATTTTCGTCAGCCTTCATCCTTTGAGTATCAGTCCCCATTTTCAGAATTTGTGTTTTGCATCTTTGACTTCTACACAGGTCACAAAGTGCCAACTGTGTACACATGATATGCTGTACACTCAGCCTATTAGAAAGATTTTCAATTAACTCCCTGAAATATAGCTGTTCCCTCAGCACACTCAGCTATGTGGCCACCAGCAGCAGTATCAGGGAGAACAAAATCCAAAAGAATAATACAAGGGAGAACTGACAAGACTTGGATTACCCCATAAAGTTGCAAAATTAACAACAGTTCAGAGAAACAAGCTTGGGAGGTAATAACTTTTATTTGGTGAGAGAGACAAGCTTCTGAGCTTGGTGAGAGAAAAGCATTAGAGCCCAGTGTAAACTCAAAAGCTTGTCTCTCTCACCAACAGAAGTAGGTCCAATAAAAGATATTACCTCACCCACCTTGTCTCTCTAATATCCTGGGCCCAACACAGCTACAACACTGCAAATAATAGTTCAGTCCTTCTTTACAACTAATATCATTTTTATTACTTGAGAAGTATTAACAGAGTTAATCTTTTTTAAAACTGCTACATCTTACTAGAGGCACTATTGTACAGTATTCATTTCTGCCTCTTAATACAGCAAATACATGTAGCACTTTACTCAGAAAGCAAACATACTTACTAAAGCCAAACTGGGAGCCTAAGAAAAGAACAAACCCATATATTGCTCTTTCAGGCAATGGGGCTGGAGAGTTTTCAACCATGTTAGTCTCTTCTTTTTAACTGAGAGAAAGAAATTAATTACAAGAAGCTATTAGCTACACATCACCTTAGGATAGTGTTGCCAATTTTCTAATTGCACAAAACAGAACATTGCCCCGCCCCTTCTCCGAGGCTCCTCCCACGCTCACTCCATTCCCTCTCCCCCACCCTCACTCATTTTCACCAGGCTGGGACAGGGGGTTGGGGTGCAGGCTCCGGCTGGAGGTGTGGGCTCTGGGGTGGGGCTGGGTATGAGGGATTTGGGGTCAAGGAGGGGGTTCTGACCTGGTGCAGAGGGTTGGGGTGAGGAAGGGGGTGAGGGGCAGCGCTTATCTTAGGTGGCTCCCGCAAGCAAGCATATCCGGCTCCTAGGTGCAGGGGTGGCCACAGGGGTTCTGTGCGCTGCCCGCAGCTCCCGTTGGCCATGGTTCCTGGCTAATTGGAGCTGCAGAGCCGGCGCTCGGGGCAGGGCCAGCACGCGGAGCCCCCGTGGCTGCCCCTGCACATAGGAGCCACATGCCGGCCGCTTCCGGAAGCCGTGCTGAATCAGGGAGCCTGACTTAGTCCTGCTGCACTGCCAACCGGATTTTTAGCAGCTCATCAGCAATGCTGACCGGAGCCACCAGGGTTCCTTTACGACCGTTCCGGTTGAAAACCGAATGCCTGGCAACTCTACAATAGGGATTTTGTATAGGTTTCGAAGATGTTGAGAAACCCGTGAATATGCTATTCCTCTCACTTTCATCTTCGATGTGGCTGTGGGGAATGGGAATCAAGTAGTGTGGTTCCTGGTGCAATGTGGGTAGACCCATACTACTAGTGCTACCTGTTGCCACGGCTCCTAGCAGGGGAACCTGCAGTCTAACTGGATTAGTAATTGCTACCATAGACAAGACGACAGGGCTTGAAAGAAGCAGTATTTCCTGCTCATCTCAGCACCAAGCACGTTGTTGGGCAGAGGCTGCCCCTGCCGGGGCGAAGACCCGTGCGGAACCCGGTTTTCCTTGCAGCGGAGTTGGGCACCCAAAAGACGCCTCACTCCACTCCGGGGCAGCGCGGGCAAAGTACGGCCCGTGGGTGCCAACCCCCGGCACCTTTCGGACCAGCCGCGACCCTCCTCGCCATCAATGCGGAGACGGGCTGTGAACTAGGTAGGCCCTCGAGTAAATCCAGTGACACCGGGACCTTCGTCCCATCCCCTGCCCCGGGGCGCTTCGCCGCGGCCAGCGCCAAGACCCAGGTGCCTCCCGCGGGGGGGCGGGGAAGCGGGCAGCAGCGGCGCTGCAAAGGGCCGGGAGCCACATTCGCCCCCGCGCCGGAGGCTCTCGGTGTCCTGGAGGCTGCGAGGTCCTCAGGACTTGGGCGTCTCCTCCCACCCCCGTGAAAACTGCCGCCCGCGCCGCGCCAAGCTCAGTGCGGCCATTTGAGACCCCGGGGGGAAGCAGCAGCACCGGGCGGGGCGGCGCCTCCGGTTCTCCCGCTCTGCCCATCCCCCTCTCTCACCTCCCCCCGGCCTGCTCCGCGTGCGGCCCGGGACTCCCCAGGCCAGTGAGCGAGCGAGAGGAATGGGGAGGAGCGCCCAGCCCAGCAGTCCAGGACACATCCAGAGCGCAACGCAACTTCTTTCTGCGCGCATGCGTGGTGAAACGACAGACACGCGTGAGCGGCGAAGTTGTCGCCTGCGCATGACGTTACAAGAAGCCGTCGAACCCGCTTTCCCGGTCTCTACCAGCAAGCGTAAGGCGCCATCGACGTGTGTCTCTTCCTCTCGCGCAGGAAACGCAAGGTCCCGAGGAGCCCGTTCCCCTTTCTAAAATCCCTGACGTCAGAAGGCAGGCAGCCAATAGAAGGTCTGGGAGGAAGGGGGCGGGGAAGTGGCTGTTTAGCCTGAGGTTCCGCTCGTTGGCCGTGGCGCCGGGCTGTGCGGCTGAGCAGGAAGCGGGCGGTGTCGCTGCTCTCGGGGCTCGCCCGGCCTGGTGAGTGAGGGAGCGTTGTAAGGGGTGCGCTTGGGGTGTCGGTTGAACGATCGTTTCTGGGCTCGCGCTGCCTCCGCCTCCTCTCCACGTGGCGGGGGGGGGGGTTGTGCTTAGCCTCGGAAACCCCGTGTACCCGCGGCGGGGGGGGGGTCACGGGGCGCCCTCGGCTCCCCCGCCGCGTGGTGCTGTCTGCCAGGGGTGCCCCAGTGAGGAGGGGACAGGAGCCCGCAGTCCCCATCCGCCCGGGCTCCGGCGAGTCCCGCTCGCGCCCCTGGCACACCCCAGAGCCCCTGCGGCGGGGCCAGGCCGCGTCCGGTCGCGGGGAGAGGCTGCCCGGGCTCTGGGTCGCTGCTGGGTTGGCCCGAGGAGCTTCCGGCGCCCCCGTTCGCGAAAACTTGGGCGAAGTGAACTAAGTGTCACGCGAGGCGGCGTCCAGCCCCCCGCGAACAGGGGCCCGGGCCCCGGCCTTCGCCCGCCCTCCGAGCCCTGGGCTTCACCAGCCTCCGCGCTTCAGGGGCGGGCGGGCGAGCGAGCGAGCGAGCGCCCGTCCCTGTGGTGACTGACCGCCGTGAAGAACTGGCGTTGTCTGCACTAACGTGTACCTGTGTAATGTGTAATGGGGTTGACGGGTTAGTTCTGTAAGTGTTACGATCAGCCCTAATTAGCTTTGGGTCACAAGAGCCGAGACATGACTGCAGACTGCTTTAATTGCCCCATACTGAAATAGACAATGCCTGGGATCTACTGTATGATAAAGACTACAGGTAAGCGCCCCTGCGGGGAAACACGCAAATCCGTCTGGACCAGGTTGCCAAGTCAGACAAAGGAACTTGGGAATCCTGAACACAAGGAGTCTCTGGAATGGATAAAATTGAACCAGGGAGCTGAGGTGAGAGACAGGCTGAGCTCTCCAGTCCGCAAATCAGGAAGGCAGCAGTTACAGGGGGCAACCTGTCTCACCCTGGCCAAGCTTGGGGTACTGGGCTTAAGCAGAACTTCCATAAACAGGCAAGGGTGGGCTGGGTTTAGGTAGGAAATATATGTATAGGCTTTTTTTATTTAAAACCCTATTCTCTCTCCTTGTTATGTTTCTGTCAATGAATAATTTACTCGTTTTTGAAGAACGTGTCCTGAACCACTGCATTTCATATTAGCCGCAAGCTCCCAAAGAGGAGTCTAGTTAAACCCAGTTGCACAAGCTGAGCTATACATGACTGGTAAATGAGGGATGTTGTAGCCTGTCTAAAGTGATCCTGTCTAAAGTAGTGTGAATTGTGGGGTTCTGCTCTGGGAGAAGTGCAGGTAGAGGCTTGCTACTTGGAAGAAGTGCCCATGGAGAGACTGAGGCCTTGGCTACACTTGCAGATGTACAGCACTGTGAGTTAAACCTGACTTCATGCAGCTGAGTGGACAGACTGCAGCGCTTTCCCTACACTGACAGCTGCCCAGCGCACTGTCGTGGCCACATTTGCGGCAATTGCAGCGCTATTGGGAGCGGTGCATTATGGGCAGCTATCCCACAGAGCACCTTTTCCCATTCTGGTGCCGTGAATTGTGGGAAGGGGGCGTGGGTGCGGGGGATTCTGGGTCCTGTCCCAATGCCCCGTGATGCATCGCTTCGCATCCCAGAAATCCCTTTGTTTCCGTCCACCTTTGGCGCCATCTTTCAACGGTTTCTGTGCAGCGCGATCTGTCTGCGGGAAATGGAGCCCAAACTGCTGAGGCGTATGCTGATGAGTCTCGCCAGCACGTCACGTTTGGGTGTCGAACTATTCCTTAAGATCCAAAGTGACAGTGAGAGTGAGGGTGAGGAGTCCGACGATGCTATCGCGCCGCGTAACACGTACGACACGAAATTGGTTGTGGCATTCACGGACATGCTCAGCACCGGGGAATGCCGTTTTTGGGCTCGGGAAACAAGCACCGAGTGGTGGGATCACATCGTCATGGAAGTCTGGGATGACGAGCAGTGGCTGCAGAACTTTCGGATGAGAAAAGCCACTTTCATGGGACTGTGTGAGGAGCTTGCCCCCACCCAGCGGCGCAAGGACACGAGATTGAGAGCTGCCCTGCCAGTGGAGAAGCGGGTGGCTATTGCAATCTGGAAGCTGGCAACTCCAGACAGCTACCGGTCGGTCGCAAACCAGTTTGGAGTGGGAAAGTTGACCGCTGGAATCGTGTTGATGCAAATTTGCAAGGCCATTAATCGCATCCTACTCAGAAGAACCGTGACTCTGGGTAACGTGCAAGAAATAGTGGATGGCTTTGCACAAATGGGGTTCCCTAACTGTGGAGGGGCGATAGATGGGACGCACATTCCTATTCTGGCACCACCCCACCTAGGATCCGAGTACGTTAATTGGCAGGGGTATTTCTCTATGGTTCTCCAGGCGCTTGTGGATCACCGTGGGCGTTTCATTGACATTAACACAGGCTGGCCCGGAAAGGTGCATGACGCACGCATCTTTCGGAACACTTGGCTGTTCAGGAAGATGCAGGCTGGGACTTTTTTCCCAGAGCGGAAGATCACGGTAGGGGAAGTTGAAATGCCCATTGTGATCCTTGGAGATCCTGCTTACCCGTTAATGCCGTGGCTCATGAAACCCTACACAGGGAGCCTTGACAGCATCAAGGAACGGTTCAACTACAGGCTGAGCCGGTGCTGAATGACTGTGGAGTGTGCCTTTGGCCGTTTAAAGGGCCGCTGGCGATCTCTGTATGGGAAGCTGGACTTGGCCGAAAACAGCATCCCCGCGGTTGTATCTGCGTGCTGTGCCCTCCATAATATTTGTGAAGGGAAGGGTGAAAGCTTCACTCAGGCATGGACCTCCGAGGTTCAACATCTGGAGGCTGAATTTGCACAGCCAGAGAGCAGGGCTATTACAGTGGCCCAGTGCGGGGCTGCAAGGATTAGGGATGCCTTGAGGGAGCAATTTGAGGCTGAAAACCAGCAGTGATATCTGGTGTCCTGCACGGGAGTGAAGTGCAGTAATTCCAATCTTTAGGAATCAGTATCTGCTAAGCAGACAAGCAGACTTGCAGTGCCTGTTTATTTCCTGGGCTAAGGAGTCTTTTACTTTATGCAATAATAAAGAATGTTTTCAAAGCCAAACAATCCATTTATTGAAAAGAAAAAAAAATTATTTATTGAAAAGAAACAAGGCGGTGGAGTGGGGAACAGTACAATCACAGATTCGCGTATGTCCTGTCTGGTGTGCTGTGCAGTGAGTGCTGCACTTCAGGACAGCTATACTGCATGGTGATGGGGGTTGAGTGGTTTTCAGGGCTGGGTGGTGAAGATACTGGTGTTGGAGGCAGTGGGTGGCATGAAGAACACGGAAGTTGGGGAAAGTGGGTTGGAGGTGACAGTGGGGCACAACGGAAAGAGTTTTGGGACAAGGGCTGTAGGGGGGGTGGCATTTGCGTTTGCGGTACTGCTCCTCTTTCTGCATGGCTACCAGCTCCTGGATAGCATCTGCTTGGCGCTCCAGGATGCTTATGAGCCTATCAGTGCTTTGCTGCCGGTGCGCTGCGTTTTCCTGCCGGATCCTGCTTTCTCTCTCCCTCCAGTCCTTTGCTTTCTCATTCTCTTTAATAGATTGCCGCATCACTTCTTGCAGCATGTCTTCTTTGCTTTTTCGCGGTCTCTTCCTGAGTCTTTGAAGTCTCTGAGCAGGCGATAAGAGGGACGGCTGAAGTCTCAAGGTTGATGCAGCTGTATAGGCAAAATGAAACATTTAACAGAGGCAGCATTGTTTATACCAGACAGAGTAATGATTCCCCCCGCACTTAAGGAGTAGAAAACACACAGGGTCTACACATTAGCATAATTTTCCCGTCCAAAACAGAGCACACGCATCCCACGGGAGCCTCAAAATGGTGAGTAAGGGGGACTGATTGTTTTAGGGCTGCACTGTCCTCTGGGTTTCTGTGCCTTGGGGAGAGCCAACAGCTTCAGGGGGCACCTACACTGAACACTGTCCCAACATTTTCCACAGGAGTTCGTCCTGGACGATATCTCGCTGCTGAGGGTGACCTGGGAAGCAAGGGAGGGTCTTCTACTGCAATGCGGCTTCCGCCCTGGCCCATATGCAGCTTGCCTGGGTGCAGCAATGGTCCCCGCGGCACAGTGGCGCGGACACGTTAGCCTGGCTGGGACAAGGATCACGGTGGCTTTCCCGATAAACCTGCGCAAGTGCATTGCACACGATCTGGATGAGACATTCAAGGAGATTACCGAGGCTGATTACCGCGATGTGATAAACCACATCAATGCACTATTCCGCATCTAGGCATGCATGCCTAACCCTCCTCTCCCAAAGAGCTCGCGCCGAAAAAATTCCTCCCCCCCTCCCCCAAAAACCCGCTTACCGGGAACCTACTTTTCTGTTTGTCCTCCACCAAGTACCGGCCGCTGCGACCGGCTACCTTCCTCCTGGCTCGAGAAGAGCTCCTGGCTGCATGGCTCCAGGGATTCCGGGGTGTCTCCATCTGGCCCACCACCATCACTCCCGTTTTCCTCCTCCCCCCACCCCACACCGGCTCTGAAGTGTCCATGGTGGTGCTCGGAGTGGAGGTGGGGTTAAC